AAAAAAAAAAAGGAAAAAAAGAAAAATATTAGTCGATCCTCTTCTCTGGTCTCTTTTAAACGCATCGGAATAAGATTCCCGAACTATTAAAAAATATATATATAAAATAAAAATACCAAAAAAAAAAAATAATATATTGATTTCCTCCACCCATCACGTTTCAACTTTTCAATTAGATCCTAGGCTTCATTGAGGTGCAACTGCAAAGCTCCATTGATGCAACAACAATTTGAGAAAAATACAAAAAAAAAGTTACCAAAAATTTTAATGCAAGGTTTCATTCTTACGGCGTTTGTCGGCTGTATCTCTTCCAATATCATTTGTATTAAGGCAGTGCTTCCCTTTTCAAAAATAATGGCACAGCTTTTTGATATTGGAAAGGGTTCTTCCCGACTCTTTGTGTTTTTTTTTTTATTATTATTTTATCATTTCCTTTCGAATGGGAATAAGAAAGATCTTTTTTCCATTCTATTGCACAATTTTCAAAAAAAAGATATTTACGGTGTTAATGTGTCACATTGGAAGAAAAAATCAACAGCAAATTTCCCATTTCAAAGCATGCATTTCTCTCATTTATTATTCTGTGTTTTCCTTCTCTTCTTCTTCCTCTCTCTCTCTCTCTTTATCTTTCAATTAATTTACGCATATCATAATTGTAATTTTCTACTTGTAATTTTGATGTTCTCATGAAGGGCATCGTTACAGTTTGTTTTCCCAAGGTATCCCCCCTCCCTCCCCCCCTCCCCCCTCCTCGTTGAGATTAAAATTCGGTGGCTGCAACCAAGCTGACTTTCCCCAGGCCTATTTTGTGCGCATTTCTTCTTTAAATAACGGTAAATATGAGTTGCAAACGTTACTAGCAACAATTATTTTGCTTTGTCAATACTTTTTTTTATCTTCAGTTCATATTTTATACAGTATTTAAGAATTCATTGAGGGGATAGTTTAAATAACTTTCCCATGCTTTCACATAGAGGTATTTGTGTCGGCCAGGGAGTCGTGGCGTACAAGTCTACGGGAACTCCACGCCCTAGTTCACTACCCTCCCTTTGGTGGATGCCGTCTCCCTCCCTCCCCCCCTCCCCCCTCCTCGTTGAGATTAAAATTCGGTGGCTGCAACCAAGCTGACTTTCCCCAGGCCTATTTTGTGCGCATTTCTTCTTTAAATAACGGTAAATATGAGTTGCAAACGTTACTAGCAACAATTATTTTGCTTTGTCAATACTTTTTTTTATCTTCAGTTCATATTTTATACAGTATTTAAGAATTCATTGAGGGGATAGTTTAAAAAATAACTTTTTTTTCAGTCGATTTAATAGGCCTGGGAGGTAGCAATGGCGTGCAACATCGTAGCTTGAGAAAGCAAGCAAGGGAGGGGGGGGAGACAAACACCCATGCTTTCACATAGAGGTATTTGTGTCGGCCAGGGAGTCGTGGCGTACAAGTCTACGGGAACTCCACGCCCTAGTTCACTACCCTCCCTTTGGTGGATGCCGTCTCCCTCCCTCCCCCCCTCCCCCCTCCTCGTTGAGATTAAAATTCGGTGGCTGCAACCAAGCTGACTTTCCCCAGGCCTATTTTGTGCGCATTTCTTCTTTAAATAACGGTAAATATGAGTTGCAAACGTTACTAGCAACAATTATTTTGCTTTGTCAATACTTTTTTTATCTTCAGTTCATATTTTATACAGTATTTAAGAATTCATTGAGGGGATAGTTTAAAAAATAACTTTTTTTTCAGTCGATTTAATAGGCCTGGGAGGTAGCAATGGCGTGCAACATCGTAGCTTGAGAAAGCAAGCAAGGGAGGGGGGGGAGACAAACACCCATGCTTTCACATAGAGGTATTTGTGTCGGCCAGGGAGTCGTGGCGTACAAGTCTACGGGAACTCCACGCCCTAGTTCACTACCCTCCCTTTGGTGGATGCCGTCTCCCTCCCTCCCCCCCTCCCCCCTCCTAAACAATTATTTTGCTTTGTCAATACTTTTTTTATCTTCAGTTCATATTTTATACAGTATTTAAGAATTCATTGAGGGGATAGTTTAAAAAATAACTTTTTTTTCAGTCGATTTAATAGGCCTGGGAGGTAGCAATGGCGTGCAACATCGTAGCTTGAGAAAGCAAGCAAGGGAGGGGGGGGAGACAAACACCCATGCTTTCACATAGAGGTATTTGTGTCGGCCAGGGAGTCGTGGCGTACAAGTCTACGGGAACTCCACGCCCTAGTTCACTACCCTCCCTTTGGTGGATGCCGTCTCCCTCCCTCCCCCCCTCCGCCCTTTGAACCCTCCTCCCCACCCCCCTCATCATAGGTGGCTAGGAGGGGGTGGTGGCCAGGAGGGCAGGGGGAGTGGGGGTGACCGGTAAAAAAAAAAAGGGAGGGGGGGTTAACAAGGGAACTGAATGGGTTATTTCATTTATCTCTCTCTCTTTTTTTATTAGTAAACTAAGGCTGACTTTAATAAGATCTGACAATTTTTTTTTTTTAAAGATCGAGGCAAAACTCGGCGATGTAGCAATTTCCTTTTCTTTATTACTATTATTATCATTTATTTATTTTGAACAATGTGGAATGTATCCTGTTCTGCTGACAATGCCTCTGATGGTATACACGCTAGGCCGTCGATTCGCCAGAAAAAAAAATAAAATAAAAGAGAGTGGCCAAGCGTACTACCACCAGAAGCGATTATGTATGCCTAAAAATAAGTGCTACCACCTAAAAGTCATTTAAAAAAAATTGATTATGTATGTATGTAAAATAAATATAATGGTCAACATATTAAAAAACAACTTCTATTTCCTTTTAGTATCTCTGCCAAATACTTCAGTCTAGAGTGTTCTAGATGATATATGCTGAGCATGCATGATACCTGAGGCATGTGTAAGGGTTGACCCAATGTTTAGACTTCTAGAAACTCTAGTCAAATCTAGATTTCTCTCGTAATTCTAGTGTATTTCTTACATATTTCTCTTTAGAGGTGCAGTAAACTTTGGCGGTGAACTAGGAGTAGGCGCGAACATAGTGTTTTCCTATGACTATGATTATTCAAGTAGAACCAGCTAGGGAACTATGTAATGGTAGAGAAGAAAGCCTGACGTTTGAATAGGTATTCAGAGAATCTTTAAAATGATGGCAATCTTAGATTTACCTCTTCTTCCCGCTCCGCCCCCCCCCCCCCTCTCGTCCCCTCGCCCTCCCCCTTCTTAAAACTGCTTCTTTGGCATTATTATTATTATTATTATAGAGGCCGAGATTAATGGCTGTGTTGTAGCTCTATCTCTTTCTCTCCCCCCTCCCGCCCCCCCTCCCCCTTTTATATATACTTGTATTTTATTGCGAATTTTATAATACGAGCATTGTAGGGCTATATACATAATCTCATTTTTTGTAAAAATAAAATATATATACATATAAGGAGGATTATAAACGTAAATTCTTCATTAAAAAAAAAATTAAACTAGTACGAAATGTAACGGTCCCTGAGTCTTTGAATGTAATTTCCCGCCAATAATTTGAATTTGTGTTTGCCTCATAGCTTTTGGCGGGAAACTTACGACAGGGGCGAAGTGGACATTTCAATAACCAAAAAAAAACAATAGATATACATATATTCCAAGGATTTATTTCAGTGTACCCTACAACTGCTGTAGAAATTAAGCTTCCCAACCTCCCAGTGTTACAATATACATATATATATATATAGCCTTTTGCTGTACGATTGTGTGCCGTCCATTTCTTATGACAATTAGGATGCTCTTTTGTTGTACTTTGCCGAGTTTATAATGTAATATGATAAAGCTGTGTTCAGCCTTAGAGGGGAATTTCTCGCCTTCGGGTTGGTTGTTCAGAGGCGAGCTCTTTGGAGGAACTTTCCCTTGTAGATGTGATTTATATATATTTAAAGAGAAATGGTGGTTATCTTATTTGTCTTTGAGCGTTTCTTGTCATTAAATTGTTTTCGCAGATACTTGTTAAAGTTATATATGTGGACTGATACATGTGCGTATCTACATTGGCATACGCAGACATGTGTATATATGTCTGTATGCACACACACACACACACGCACACGCGCACACGCACACGCACACGCACACGCACACACGCACACACACACACACACACACACACACACACACACACACACACACACACACACACACACACACACACACAAACACACACACACACACAAACACACAAACACTTACACATATATGTACAAGCAAAAGTACTCGTACACTTACATATACATGTACATGTACATGTGCACGTACACACACACACACACACACACACACACACACACACACACACACACACACACACACACACACACACACAAATAAACGTACATAGTTACAGTGCATGCATGTACATATATAGCCAGTCTACCTATGTTTGTGGGTAACTGTGTATGTATATAAGACCATAGCCCGCATATACGCAAATATTATCATTAGAGCTTAAAAAAAGAATCACAATGTTTAAAAAAAAAGCGAAAAGACAAATAATTAGCATAAAGATAACCACTGACCCCCCCCCCATCCATACCTCCCCCACCCCACCACCCTCCCCCCTTCCAATTTATCCCAGAGGTGTAAAAAGTTTGGATATATTTATCTTCACTTCGTCCTCCTCCTCCTCCTCCTCCTCCTCCTCCCCCTCTCTTACCCCCCCCTAACACACACCCTACCCTCTCTCCCCAACCCCAACCCCAACTCCCTAACCAATCACCCCCCCCCCCCCCAATTCGAAGCCAATCACACCCCTACCCCAACTCCCTCCTTCCTCCCTCCCTCCCCCTCAACCCCTCCACCCCACTCAAACACCCCTCTATTTCTCCCCCTACCCCCTTCCCCCTCCCCCTCACTCCCCCCCATAACCCAACCTCCCCCCTTCTCCCCCACCCCCCTTCACCCCCACCCCACCCCACACACACCAACCCTCCAACCCCCCTAAGGCTGATCACAGCTGACCACGTTTTCTGTGGTTATAGGCCTGACTGCCGCCATACCCATCAGAAATGAGAGTCAAAGCTCCAGCAAAGGCCTAGCCTCGAATTCGGTTGCCCCAATTCGCGCCGTCCATGTATTGGCACCTGGTAAGAAAAGTATTAAGTTCGTTGTAGCAAAATGTTACACTTGCTAATCCAACTTTTTATAATGCAGATCCATTTTCTCTTCACTTTTTTTTTTTACTTTTTTTTTTTTTTTTTTTTTTTTGGGTGGGTGGGTTCCAGTTGTAATGGATTTTTATATATATAATTTTTTATTGTTATTGTTATTATTATTATTATCTTTTTTTTTGGAATTCACGAAGGCTTTTTTTAGGGAATTTGTAGTACCAGATACCTCTTTGAGAAGTTTATGTATCAGAAGGAAAATACAAAAAAAATATATATAAAAATCGGGATAAAAAAAAAATGTATAGCAGTTACATATTTTTGTATGTGTGTAAAATCACCATATATATATTAAAAATTATATTTGAAATCCATACATTTTTTTGATGGAGTTAATGGGTCACCAATTACCATGCCAAGGGTTAGTGCACGTAATACCCCCATTAAAATATGACAATATAAATGAACTTGTTTGTACGTAGTTGTATTTTTTTCACTGATTAATATGCAACAAAAAATGTTTGTGATTTTTTTCGGTTGTGCTAGATTCTTCTCTATTTTTTGTTTAATGAACTAAAACCAAAAGAAATGTATCCTTCATTACAATAACTTTGTAGTGATTTATAGTCAAGAAAGAAGAAGATAGTTGTTAAGTTTGAACTTAGAAGAAATCTAAGGTTCCTGTCCTATCAGCCTTTCTTTAAATCATTTTATAATTTTTTTTAACCCATTAGTACCTAGACTTGTTAAAAATAAACAATTGTAACCATTTTCCTTGTTGAGTTTTTGAGTAAGTCTGACATAATATATAATCACGAACAAATTATATATATAATAAAAAAGGGGGTATTATGACATATATAAAACCAAAAAAAAAAAAAAAAAAAAAAAAATCAGAAAAAAATGATGATACCAAAAAAAAAAAGCAAAACAACGTAAGGATATTTATAAAAACCCAAAAAAAAAGAGAGTGAAATGCCCGAGGGAAGATCTCAGAAGAAGGATGAGACCAGCGAAGTAAGTACCTTGACGGCGAAGATGACAATGATGTTGTGAGATGCCATTCCTGTGATTCAAGACTAGCTGAAGAAACTAGCCCACAAGATAGAGTTAGCAACTTTCTCTCACGACATTTTCCCTTAGAAAGAAATGTTACCACTTAGGTGAAACTTCTTAGAAGATGTTCTAGACCGAATGATATGGGAAGAATGAAGAAAGAAGATATGAACCTCCCATAGAATTACTTCTTCTAGACTATAGTATATATAGACTATAGCATCTATAGGTCATAGTATCTATAGAGCTAGCCAGTGTTTGGCGCGCGTTTCTTCTCTGTTTGATTATAACAATGTTTAGAAATTAATATAGATAGTAACTATTACTCTAATCTAGGTGAATGTAGAATACTAGTCATGATGCTGTCATAATCTGCGATTATGATATAAGATACTAGAAGTTATTAGATCAAGATGCAATACTAGACTACTCAATGTGATGATGAAATACTAGACTCTTCATTTGTGATGAACTAACTAGCTAATCATCTGTTCCTCTTACAGGTACTTTAGCAGACTACTTTTAGTCTAGAAAACTTTTAGTCCTAATCCGTAGTTTTTCTAGAGATGTTTTCCTGTATCCGAAACAACTAGTCTGTTTTTTAGACAAGTCTTTCTCGTTTTGGGCTGGCATGTTCCTGCCCAGAGAAGCATAGCCCCGTTTTTAGAGCATTTGTTATTTTAAGGGTGACATTTATATATGTGCTTTGAGGCTTCACAAACTCCAAAACTAACACTTTTGTCACTAACTCTTTCAATCTACTCTTGGCCGGAAAGCAGTCGTATATATATATATTTTTTATGGTTGTATGTTTTGCATGTGAACTGTTTTAACCAGTGTTAACTCTTTTAAACCTCTGCCCAAAAATAATCTTTTGATCTTAACCGCTTCGGTATATTGACTATTTCCGGCTCAACAAACACCCAGAAAAAAAGAGAGTAGAAGGTGCATCTTTTTCAATGATGTCTACCTTTTCTTTTTTTAAATCTTTCCCTTTTTAACCAAAAACTCTTTTACCTTTGTAACAGAGTTCTTTTGTACTTGACCTTTTGTGACCTCAAACTTGACCCGCGGCGCCACTCCCCTCCCTCTGACCTGGCTTACCCCTCCTCGCCCTCAGGCTTCCCGGCCGGTTGTGGATACTTCCCCTCAGCCACGGGCGCCTCCATCACGGGCGTCTCTCCACAAACACCCACGCCCGCGGACGGCTTCAAGGCAGCGGCTTACTACGAGTCCGGAGCGGTAGCCACGCCCACCCTCACGCCCACGGCACCCATCACGCCAACACTGACGGTGAGGAACAAAATATAAGAAAAAA